CTTTTCTAAGAAAGTGACGATGACTTCTTCTCATTAGTTAATTTCTCAGATTTTAGTTTTAAGCTTTTGGTTAATACTCTTGTTTTCTCTCTCCACACTTTTAGTTTATGCAATCCATCATTTCCGTTTATTTTGGTAACGATTTCTTCCCCTTTTATTTTTAGTAATTAATTGCTTTGATTAATTATGTCTTGTTTATTCGCTTTGCTTAGTTTAGATTTAAATATGTGCGAGTAGTATTATTTCTAGGGTTGTGGGGATCCATAAATAATATGAAGGGGTAATTTATTATTGTTGATTGTCAATGCTTGATTGATTTCCTATTGATTGATTTAATGCTATGCAATTAGATTTGGCCAGGTTTAATTGCATGAGTTATGCAATATTGATTCGAGATTCGAGAGATGATAATGGATGTTTAGGCTTAGTTTCAATAGGCAAGTTAATTTATAAATGGTTAAGTCAAGATTCGAGAGATGCGATTTAATACTGGTAGATTAATTCTGTGATTGTAATACGTAGCGAAAGCCCTTTATGATCTGATTAATTGATGCATTAATAATTAATTGTTGTGTTTTACCCTGTAATATTATTTATTGGTGAACCTATACCCTAGACCTTGATTTATTGATTTCTCCCTAGTTTAATTTGTTTTACTTTATTTACTTTCCTTATTTTAATTCTCATAAAAACATATTGGTTACTTGATAGTTTAGATTGTTTTAATTATTTAGAAATAGAAAGACTTATTTCCCTGTGGTTTCGACCCTAATTCCCTATCTATTTTAGTTAGTGGTTTTAGGAATTACTTTTGATTAAGTGATACGACTTTAGCCTGTCAAAGTTTGGTGCCGTTGCCGGGGAAATGGTTTTATTTTTATTCCTGATTATTATTTCTGTAGTCTAGATTATTTTCTTTCGTCTTAGAGAACGCAAGTTCTTTGGGACAGTTTCTCATATTTGTTTGTTTAGTTATGTGTTTATGCCCAGGAGTTCTAGATCAGGTTTCATTCCATTCTATCCTAAAATCGAACGTTCTTTTCATAGATAGAAGAACCTTTTCAGACAAGTATGAGCTACTTCCGAGGGTAATAACCCCATCTGATTCTAGTGACACGGAAGTTTCTTTAGAATCAGAATCATAGATGACGGATCAACCACCTCGCAAGCTCAGCAATTATTCGCAGTCGTCCCTGACGGATTTTCCACATCTTGCTCTTACACCTAATCTCGAGGGAGTACAATTCGAGATTAAACCCCAGGTTATTACTATGATAGTAAGGAAGCAATTTAGCAGAGCTAAGAGTGAAGATCCAAATCTTCATATTTTGGATTTTTGCCAATATTGCAACACTATTAGGCAAGCTGGGATCACGCAGGACCAAATCAGGGAGATTCTTTTTCCCTTTTCTTTATGTGGTAAAGCTAAATTATGGTACAATGGATTGAATAGAACTGCACTTAGTGTTACTGACTGGGATACTCTTGCTTTGAATTTCTATGATAAATACTACCCTGCAGAGAGGACGGCTTTGTTAAGGAGTTCAATCCAAAATTTTGCCCAAGAAGCTGATTAAAGTTTATATGAAGCTTGGGAAAGATTTAAGGACTTGTAGAGAGAATGCCCTCATCATGGTCTAGCACAATGGTAGATAATCCAAGCCTTCTACAACATGATTGGAAATTCATCTAGTTCAATCTTAGATTCATTAGCTAATGGAAGATTTATGAATCTTCATAGATGTAGTAGGAACATTTATCGAAGAGATGGCAATTCACAATTCCCAATATGGGAATCCTAGAGGTTTTGCAAACAAAGGGAAACATAGTGTCGATTCTGTTTCCTTTGTGAAAGCTCAATTAACTTCTATTTGTCAGAAATTAGATAATATTATTACTGCTATATATTCCAACCACCGTAGCTAATGTTTCTGCTGTTAATAATAATATTAATGATGCTTTTTGTGAAAACTGTGGAATTGTAGGTCATTGGAACAAGATTGTAGGAGTTCCATGGAGCAAGTTAATGCCTTCCAAACCTATAAGCAAAATAACCCATACTCCAACACTTATAATCCTGGTCTCCAAAACCATCCATATATTTCTTACCGGAGTACCAATGTGCAAAACCCTCCAACTCCACAACAACCACAACAACAAGCGCCACAACAAACACAGCAAAAATATTACCAACCTCCTAACCAAAGGGCCCAACCACAAACTCCACCTCCATCTACTGACCCTGCCTTGTCAGAAATTAGAACGATGTTAGCTAGTATGCAAAAGCACATGCAGAGTAGGGATGCACAAATTGATTCGATCTTAGCTCACAATAAAATCATGGATAATCAAATTGCACAACTTTCCTCTACTTTACAAACTCGACAACAGGGAGCCCTACCATCGCAGCTAGTACAACCTACAAATCATGCAAATGCAATTACTCTGAGGAGTGGTTCACACTATGATGGGCCTCCTATGCCTAAGGATGATGAACCTGTTTTAACAAAAATTGCTAATCCTGATTCTGTTATACCAAATGATCTTGTTATTGGCCCTGTAGGGCTCCAGGGTAAAACTAACATTCTGATGATACAATAACAACTCCAAAGAAAGTTACAACTTAAGACAAGAGTGGAGATGTACAGAAACCAGTTATCAAACTACCATTCCCTAATAGACATTTGAAGACTAAGTTGGATAAGCAGTTTGGTAAGTTTCCGGAGGTTGTGAAAAACTTGTAGGTAGCAGTTCCTTTCACAGATCGAGTTAATTACACAAATTCCTGCATATGCTAAATTTATGAAATATATTTTGACTAGGAAGAGAGACTTTAATGAGGTAGAGACTGTAGCTTTTACAGGGGAATGTAGTCCTTTATTGCAAAATAACTCTCCACCTAATTTAAAGGATCCTGGTAGTTTCTCTATTCCTTGTCATATTGGTAATGTCTTCATTGATAAAGCATTATGTGATTTGGGTTCTAGTGTTAGTGTTATGCCATCGTATGTGTGTTCAAAGCTTAATATGGGTGATTTAAAAGTTACTAACATTACTTTGCAAATGGCAGATCGTTCTGTTAAATACCCTTTAGGTATTCTAGAGGATGTCCCTGTTAGAGTTGGTAAATTTTTATCCCTATTGATTTTGTTGTTTTAGACATAGCTGAGGATGCACAAATTCCAATAATATTAGGTAGACCTTTCCTCCACACTGCAGGAGCCATTATTGATGTAAAAAATGGAAAACTAACTCTATCTTTTGGAGATGATAATATCACTTTTAATTTAGGGAAGGTTTTGAAAGGTCTTATGTTAGAGGAAAATTGTTCTAGTATTGATGTGATTGATGTTATTTGTGAAGATAACTTACCACAAATCCTTGCGAGGGATCCCTTGGAGGAAGTACTTTGTGGTGATTTTACTACAGGTGATGCTGGTATTTGGAGCAGTGAGGTGGATTCTATAGAGAAAGCTCTCACACTTGAAAACCTTGACCCTAAGGAGAGCAAGAAGGTAGTACAATTAGTTCAGGAATCAAAACCTGTAGAGGTTAAGAAACCTGAACTAATACCTCTCTTTTCTCATTTAAAATATGTATTTCTTGATGAACAGGAATTACACCCTGTGATGATTAGTACTGCACTTGATAACCCACAAACTTCCCAACTTCTTGAGGTTCTTCAAACCCACAAAAGGGCAATTGGGTACAATATTGATGACCTCAAGGGTATTAGCCCTGATTTTTGTACACATGATACACTTAGAGGACAATCAGAAGCCATGTATTCAACCCTAGAGAAGGTTGAATCCTAACATGCAGGAAGTAGTTAAGAAAGAGGTTATGAAATTACTTAATGCAGGTATTATCTATCCTATTTTTGACTCAAAGTGGGTGAGTTATGTACAGGTAGTTCCTAAAAAAGGGTGGGATGACTGTGATTAAAAATGATAAAAATGAATTGATTCCCAGTAGAAATGTAACAGGATGGCGTATGTGCATCGATTATCGTATATTAAATATTTCCACCAAGAAAGATCACTTCCCTCTCCCTTTTATTGATCAAATGTTAGAAAGGTTAGCTAATCATAAGTTCTTTTTCTATTTAGATGGGTACTCGGGATTTTTCCAAATTCCAATTCACCCTGAAGATCAGGAAAAGACCACATTTACATGCCCTTATGGTACTTTTTTATATCGTAGGATTCCCTTTGGTCTATGTAATGCCCCTATTACTTTTCAACGTTGCATGATGAGTATCTTTTCTGAGTTTTAGAGTCTATCATGGAAGTCTCTATGGATGATTTTAGTGTGTATGGGTCTTCATTTGATGCATGTCTAGCTAATCTCACTAAAATTTTGAAAAGATGTGAAGAATGCAATTTGGTCCTAAATTGGGAAAAATGTCACTTTATGGTGACAGAAGGAGTGGTTCTTGGTCATATTGTATCTGATAAGGGTATACAAGTAGATAAAGCTAAGGTTTCTGTGATTGAGCAATTACCTCTACCTGTTAATGTTAAGGGGGTTAGAAGTTGCTTAGGTCATGCGGGGTTTTATCGTCGCTTTATCCAAGATTTTTCTAAAATTGGTAAACCACTAACTCAGCTTTTACTCAAGGATGCCCCATTTGATTTTACTGACTAGTGTCTTGAGGCTTTTAACAGGATTAAGCAGGCTTTGAAATTGACACCTATCATATGTGCTCCCGATTGGAATCTTCCTTTCGAGATTATGTGTGATGCTAGTGATTTTGCAGTAGGAGTCGTGCTAGGACAAAGAAAGAACAAAGTTTTGCATGCTATTTATTACGCAAGTAAAACTTTGGATGAAGCCCAAATCAATTATGCCACCACGGAGAAGGAGTTTCCACTACTACATTTTTAACCAGATGCAACAGCCAATAAAGGGCTAATGCAACGCCATTTTTGTTACCGTCGCAATAAATTAGGCTAATGCAACGGATATTAGTTTACACTTCATAAGATAGAGCTAATACAACGGCTTTTTAGATCCGTTGCATTAGTTGAGCAGAAGAATCTAATACAACGGCTAAATAAGCTAATGCAACGACAAAGAAATTCAATAATACGGAGAGGCGCTGAAAATTTCACTTAGTCCCTCTAATTTTTTCCCCAAATTTTGAACCTTCTACTACATCACTGCCACACTTACAAGATAAACCAAAAAGAAAAGAAACTCTCTTATCCTCTCTCTCTCTCTCCTCCTTTCCCCAATTCCTCATTTTTTCTCAATCTCATGCTCCTACAATGGCAGTCGCTGCTACTCATTTCTTCGTCTACGCTTTAACCCTTCTAAAATTTGCTCATTAGTTTATTATTCATAAGAAATTTGGGTTGAGTTCTTTTTATAAGTTTTCTCTTTTCTTTGTTTCCTTCTCTTCCACTCAAATTCTTCTGATTTCTACTATTGCCCAAATCTCAAGGAAAATATCGTTATTTCTTCTCATTTTATGGGCTATTAGCCCCAATTTCAACTAGTAAAATTGGTGAGTTCGCTGATTTGAGCCTCGTTAATTCCGCCATATTTTTTTAACAAGACTTTAATTCCGTCATTTACCTAGCTCATAAGTTAAATTAATTTTTGGTTTTTATCTTGTTGTCTTAATTTGGTGTTATATATGGAGTGGATTTCGATTTTGTGGTTATTTACCAAATCTATACTTTTATCAGTTCATAATTTTGTTGAATATTTTTTTGTTTTTTGTTTGGTTAATAATTATGTATAGAACTCGTTATATTGTGGTCTTAGTTAGTGGTTTGCAATTCTAAAATATTTTGCTCTATAATTTAATTTTCTAAAAATTAATTATTTTGAAAATGGAGCTCCCCTTTCTAGATCTGTTTAAATTGTAGAAGAAAATTGAGGAATTAGGATAGGAAAGGGCCGATAACGACCAAAATATATGTAATCACTGTCGAGAATTTTATTGAAGGTTTTTACTTTTTCTCTACCACCTTATCAATGGAAGATCAAAGGTTTCTAGGAAATAGATAATTGTTTGTTGAATATGGTTTTGTAGAGGAAGTGAATGGAGGAGGAGACATACTTTGTGTGTGAGGTGTGGCTTTCACCATTCCCTCTTCAGCAAAGTCGTTGCTTTGGTTGTAGATCTCCCGTCACTCGCAAGCAAAAGTATAATCTTTCTCTTCATTTTTTTAATCTCTTTTTGGATTATTTTATAGCTTTGATTTGATTTGCACGGTCTAATGTCGATTTTTATTTATTTATGCATGATTTTGTGAATTAATTTGAGTGATAGGTGGTATTATAATTGACTATGATTTGAGCTAATTTGAATTGGTAGATTGGTTTTGGGAAATTGGGTTTAAAAGTTTATGGTGTAAATCTAGAATGTGATTATAAATTTTTGTTGTAGCCTCCATTGTTATTGTTGTAGTTGTTATTATTGATATCTAGCCTTTAATATTGATATTGTTGTGGGTGTTGTTGTCTCTGCTGTCTACTGTTATGTAAATTGTAAATTTTAAATTTTAATAGCCGGAGAGCCACTGAAATTCTTAGTCAAAACTTATGACATACTTATGCATCTGTCTTTCAAATGGCCTATTTCTTGTTTTATAGATGATTTGTTGTCAGGTCAAATCTAGGATGCTTAAAAATATATGGCCTTTCAATTGAATGCCTTTTATTTTACTACGAATTGTAATTGACTTTGTAATTTTTTAATTTTAAGGTGCCCCTCTGTAGGCTACGATGCTTCTTCTGATTTCGGCTAGTTCTTTGTCACATTTCTTTCTAACCACTTATTTGAGGTAATGCTCTTTCGCCAACATTATTGTGAATAACTGCATCTTGTAGACTTATAGTATGAAGTGATAAAAGTTACAAAATAAAGCTAATACTTGGGTAGCAGAACATTGTTTAGTGGTCCAATGCAATTTATATTAGAAATTGTTTCCTCTACCGGGTTCTTGTTTGAAGATTTTTCCTGCTGTCAGCTTTTTGTATCATGAGAAAGTTGTGAATATTGAATCTGTTGGCCTTTTGGGTTACTCTTAAGAAAATGTAGTGGAAGACACATGGTTTGTAAAATCAGTTTTCCATTCTATTTAAATAATTATAGTTGATCAGGCCATTCTTGATTCTTGCTACTAATTTTCTTTATGAGTTTGTTTAGAGGTATTGGAGTATTGTTAATGTTCGTGTTGGATATGAGTTCACAGGGTATGATAATATGAAGATAAAGCTTGACAAAGACAATTTATCACTTTGAAATACTTTGCTTGGTTTCATATAATTTTGTTGCATGTATAGTAGTTATCCTACTCAATTCTGATTAAGGGTGTTTTTTTTTTTTGGTTTATTCTCCTGTTTTATTATCTATATATTAAAAGAGCACAAGGATCTTTGATTTTGTATACATGCTAACTTTAATTTTAATTGATTTTTCCTAGCTTAAATTGACAAATGTACAGAATGAAGCTTGGAAAACAGTGACAAGATATATAAGCAATAAAAAACAATCTCAGATCAATGTCAAAATGTGACTTCTTTAAGCTTTTGTGTTGCTGCAATGTTGGGATGTTTATGTTGGTTGTTATGTTGCTTTTGATAACTATAGGACATCAGGTGCTCTAAATTTATCTTTATTTTGATCCAAACACCTAATTTTGTTGTTAAAAATGGTTACAGCGAGAGCAGACTTAGTTGTTGTTCTTTTGAAGATATTGTATTCTTCAAAGTCTGTAAAATAGGGGAAATTGATGTGAAAGGGATGGGGGCTGTTTTTACTCGTTGTATGGATAGCTGGGTGCCCTGGTTTATTGTTTTTTAGATGTGTTTGGTGTGTGCCCTCCTTATTTGGCTTATGGTTGCTGCAGGTTGCCGCTTCTGGTTTGGTTTCAGTGTTGGATCTGATAGTGGCAGATTAGCAGCTCTGGTTGAGGGTTCTACCTGCTTGTAGCCTTTTTTGTGCCTGTTGTGTTTTTGTTTGGTTTTGGGTTGGCTGCTGCCTGTATTGGCTTTAGGGTGCTGCTGTGTTGTGGCCTGCGGGCTAACATGAGTATTATTGTATAGCTGGATTCTCCATGCGTTTTGAAATTTTCTCATGTTGATTATGGCCTTGATCTTATAATTTATAGTTTAGTTTAGTTGTATTTCTATTATTTTATTCTATTTTACGTGTAGGTGCATGGGGAGCTAAATGGAGCTGAAGTATAGTAACTAGCTAGTCATCTAACAAATGGCGCATATATGTTGGCGACTCTTATTCAAGTTCAAGTTTGTGAAGATTTGGAAATTCCGGCTTAAATATATGTTGAAAATTTGTATTTTGGAGGATTAAATTAATTATATAACTTTTATTTATTATTAGTAGGGTGTCATACAAAAAACAAGCAACTAATATTTTATAATGTACGTATTTAGCATTATAATTATTTTATATAAATTTAATGATATTTTGTTTCTTAGTATATTTAAATTTGTACTGACTATTTATACATATATTATATTACTGTAACCGTTCAAAATAAAAAAATAAAAAAAAGATCAAATGATCAATACGTTGCAGTAGATACGTACTCCATATATCATTTGTATTAATTAGCTTCATCCGTTGCAATAGGTGTCAATTTCATCATAATTAGTAGTCAGTAATCTATTGCGACGGGTAATTTATACCGTGGCATCAGGTGTAAAGCTAACGCAACGGATTATAGCTGCCGTGGTATTAGGTGTTGTATACCGTTGCAATAGACTTACTGCAATGCCAACAAATGCCACGGTACATGGCCGTTGCATTAGGCCTAATGCCACGGAATTTGACGCCTAATGCAACGGATTTGGGGGTTGCAATAGGTAAAAAATGTAGTAGTGTTCTTGCTGTGATTTATGCTTTAGAAAAATTTAGAGCATATCTAGTTGGTTCTAAAATTATTGTTTTTACTAATCATGCAACTTTGAAATATCTTATAGCTAAGGCGGAAACAAAGCCTAGGCTCCTCCGTTGGGTTCTCTTGCTCCAAGATTTTGATGTGGAAATTAAGGATAAAAAAGGAGCAGAGAATGTTGTTGCAGATCATATATCGAGGATCAGGTATGATGAGGATAAGGATTCTCTTCCTATAGATGATTTTTTCCCTGATGACCACTTGTTTGCAGTTGTAAAGCAACACCCTAGGTATGCCGATTATGCTAATTACTTGGTGGGCGGTACTTTACCTCCCGATTTGTCCTACCAACAGAAAAAGAGGTTCCTTTATGATGTTAAACATTATTTTTGGGATGATCCTTTTTTGTTTCGTGAGTGTGCAGATGGACTATTTCGCAGGTGTGTTCCTGAATGGGAAGTCCACGGTGTACTTACAAGATGCCACAACTCACCATATGGTGGACATCATGGTCCCACCAAAACGGTTGCAAAGATCAATGAGTCGGGTTTCTATTGGCCTACCATGTTTAAGGATTCTCACTCCTTTGTTCAAGCTTGTGACTCTTGCTAGAGGACAAGCAACATCTCGTGGTAGCATGAGATGCCTTAAACAGGTATTTTGGAAGTTGAAATTTTTGATGTTTGGGGTGTTGATTATATGGGACCTTTTCCCTCTTCTAAAGGGAATAACTATATCCTTATCGCCATTGATTATGTATCCAAGTGGGTTGAAGCCATTGCTACACCTACCAATGATGCCAAGGTGGTCCATAAGCTTTTCAAGAAAACCATTTTTCCTAGATTTGGAGTCCCTAGAGCCGTTATTAGTGATGGAGGATCTCACTTTCATGAACGGAAGTTAGATACCCTTCTCAAGAAGTATGGTGTCTACCATAGGACAGGTTTAGCTTACCATCCCAAAACTAGTGACCAAGTTGAGGTTTCTAATCATGATATTAAGGCTATTCTAGAGAAGGTGGTAGCAAAGTCTAGGAAGGATTGGAGCGATAAGTTGGATGACACTCTTTGGGCGTATAGAACCGCATTTAAGACCCCCATAGGTACTTCCCCCTATAGACTTGTGTATGGGAAAGCATGTCATCTCCCGGTGGAATTAGAGTATAAGGCTTATTGGGCAATTAAAAAGCTCAATTTGGATGCTAAGTTAGCGGGAGAGAAGAGGCTACTACAACTTAACCAACTAGATGAGTTTAGGTTGATGGCCTATGATAGTGCATGTGTTTACAAGGAGAAGACCAAGAAATGGCATGACAAGATGATCCTTCCGAGAGAATTCAACGAGGGTTATAAGGTTTTGTTATTCAATTCTAGACTTAAACTTTTCCCAGGAAAGTTAAAGTCAAGGTGGTTGGGTCCTTTCATTGTTAAAAGGGCAAACAAATTCGGTTCTGTAGAGTTATATGATGAACATGGCGGTGATTTTAAGGTAAATGGCCAAAGATTGAAATTATATCATGAAGGGGCTACGATTGGTGCAGTTGAATTACTTCAGCTAATCGATTCCATATCATCTTGATCGACATAGGGTAAGAAGGTCGTGCGGGACCTAGATAAACCAGCGCTTTGCTGGAGGCAACCCGTATTTTCTTGCTTTTTAGAATAGTTTTTCCCTTATTTTTGTCTTTTGAGAGGAAGAGAGGAGGGAATTTAATGTGTTTTAGAGTATTTTGTACAGGTTGGAGAAAAAGAGTTTAGCCAAATTTTGAAGAAAAGAAGGGAAAAAAATCGGACTAATAGTGTTGTAGCGCACCCGACCGAGCGCAAGAGGAAGTCTATATGTGAGCAAAATTCGCCTGACTGGGCGAGGCTCACCCATCCGGGCGCGAGAGTGAAGGTCGAAAAAAAAGAACCAGCCTCGCCCTACCGGGCGCAAGAAGAAGCAAATCCAAGGCTACATATACCCCCCAACTGGGCGAGGTCCCGCCCGACCGGGCGCAAGCCCAGTCGAATTTTATTCGCTAGATCGCCCGGTTAGGCGAAGGGCCACCCGACCGGGCGCGCCCTTATCCTTCCGGATTCCTCTTCTTTTTTCTTCTTTCTTTCTCTTTCCTCCATACTTTCTCTTTCTAAAACCTTAATTTTCTCTTTCTTCTCTCTAAGATCTCTCCTCCATTTCTCACCCAAATCCAAATTTTTTTTACATATTCCTTCTCCTCTCTTCATCCTCTACATTCATATACTATTTTGGTTCGAATTTGAGCAAATTTTTTTTGAAGACCCATATACAAGATGACTACGAAGAGGGAAAGAACTCAATTTGGACGTGGTTCAGGATCGAGTACTCCATACGACCCAGATTTGCAACTACTAGAGTGGCCAACAATCAAGATTACAACCTCGACGCAACGTCAACGGCTCATTAATCTCTACGAACGCGAGGTAACTCCCTCTCGGTGGTTACACCGAGATACTCTTGAAACTTTAGGATTATTTGAGCATGTTAGGAGGTTTATGAATGACATAGGAATGCGTAAATTTGTTTATATACATTATCCCACATTTCGTGAAATTACTTGTGAATATCTTTCATCTTTAAATGTTGTTCAAACAAACAATCGACCGGTTATGCATTTTAGGTTGAATAATAGAAATATTAGTTTAACTTATGTTGAATTTGCAAAATTGTTTGATCTTTATCCCCATCCTCCTACTCAATGGCATGAGAACTATAAATCGAATGACATATATTATGCTTTGACGGGTTTGCCTTGCCCAAACTCACAACATGCCAGTGCACGACCCCAATTAGGTCAAGCCAAACCACCAACGGATTCTAGAGTGGCATGTGAGGGTAGGAACGACCCCTTTGCCCATCTTTACTCTTCCCAACCCCGAGCTGACCGCCTTTCCCCCTAGGCAAGATTCTTACACTTATGATATTCTAGTTACCCATGCCCAGGGCCTGGCACAGCCTCAACCACGTGCACCATCACCACCACAACCACATCCTAAGGTACCACGTCAATACCACCACCCCATATGCCTCAGCCACCCCCGCACCAGCCTAGGCCAGACCCCGAGACCATTTGGGACCTATAGAGTATAGGTCAGGCTATATGTAGGATAGAGGAGAATCAGGGGGAGCTTAGGGTATAGGTAGGTGACTTTAAGAGGCTAGTTGGTTCCCTTGACTAGAGGGTGGGCTATGTTGAGCGAAACACGGGTAGGGGACTTTATCCCATGTACGACGACTATGCTCATCGTGGTGCTATTCCTGCTGACTCCCATTACCCTGACTGGTTCTTGCCACCACCTCAGGGATACGTGAATCTCGACTCCCGTGGTATTTACACGGACTACTCTTCGTTTTCTAGCTACGGCCAAGATTTTCCTATTGGGGGGATGGGGGGTAATGTTAACCCTAATTATTTTGGTGGGAGTTCTTCTGGTGGAGCAGGTGGTAGCGGAGGAGGATTTAGGACGATGGATGAGAATGGTGGTCATTAGCCATGCTGTGGCTAGTTCCCGAGCCAATGAGGACATCATCTGATTTTGGCTTGGGGGAGATTTTGGATTGAGGTATCTTTCTTTTCTCTCTCTTTTTGTTTTTGGTGTGTTTAGTATAGTTTTTATTGCTTTCTAGTGTAGATTTTATTGCTTTGAGAAAAATGAAAAATACAAAAAATTTAGAAAAATAAAAAAAAAATACAAAAATACGATCCAATGAATGATAAATCATGCTTCCCTGTGCCCTATACATGAAAATTGTTTTGATTCTTGGTATATGATGATGAGTAATGTGGATAGGTTAGCCATGATTTAATGTTTGATTGCTTTGATGGAATAACATGAGTCAATTTTGTCCAACTATTTGTGGATTTAGTGCTCGGCTAGTTGATTTGGTGAGGAATGTGTGTTAGTTCCTGGTATGTTAATGAATTTGAGTATTGGTTTGCAAGTTTGAGTAATGTTTGTATGGCTCATTATTATACACATTGAGGAGGACGAAGGCATTTGTTCTTTTAGGTGGCATTCAAATGATTGTAGATACATTTGTTCCCTTCTTGCTACCCATGTTGTTGCCTTGACTTTTGCCACATTATAAACCGTTTTTGCCCCATTGGTTACTAGTCCCAAGCTTGGCTTGGGGGAGCTATTAGTGAGTGAGGTGAGGGTGTTTGTGGTGTGCTTACTATTTGCACAATTTGGGTGGTGTTGAGAAGTTGTTTGTTCTTGATTGTGGTTTATTTTGATGATTGTTGAAAGATTAATTCTCTTGAAAAATAAAGCATGATGTTGAAAAAAAAAGTTCAAGGAAAAAAAAAAGAATGAAAAGAAAAAAAATATGTAATGTTCAAATGTTCTAAGAGAAGGTTGTTCAAAAGAACAAGAATTTTTGAGTTTCAATGAGAAAAAGAAATCAAGTGTTAAAGAGTTCAAAAGTTTGTTTGGTTCCTCAAGTTCTTAATTATTATATTTTTATGAGCGAGATTGTAAGAGTTCGAATTGTTGATATAATTGGTTGTTTGGTGAATATTTGGTTAAGTTGAGTTGTG